TTTTTTTTTTTAATTCAACTAACTCCCTACATATTGTATTACGTAAATTATTTGTAATCAATTTTATCATACCTTTTCATTCTCATGTCCTGATTCACCAACCCAAAGATTGCCCTCTTCATCCTTCAAGCACACAGCTGTATGGCCAGCAAATGCACCTGTTACCCATTTTTCTAACGTCTCAAAACCCCCCCATCGGCCACGGATCTTTGAAACCGCTAGAAAGTCACCAGAATGAACATCTTCAGGATTTATAGTTGTAACCCAAGGCTTGGGACGCTTTTCAAATGCGGCACCCATGTGCTTCTTCAGAAAAGCAATGTTAGCATTCTGACCCCAGACAGTGTTAGAAAAAAGCGGCAAGACATCTACTAAAGAAAGAAGGGTCCCCAGCATTCCTGATGGCATGAGAAATACAGACACCCCATGCTGCTTTACCTGCTCAATAATCGGTTTAAGAGTCAAACTTTATGCGACAAGATAGTCCCTCCATTTGAAATTCATACAAAATAGTAAAAGTAATACATATTCCATTTCTGCACTCTCTTCCCATGAATCAAATGTCAATGTATGTTCTCGAGCAGTGAAGTAGTAATCCCATGTAATCCGGTACGGTGTTGCGAAAACGTATAAATCCATACAAGTCCAGCTGTGTGCCTCAGACGTCTGTACACAGACGAGAATAATAACATCAATCCCCAAAAACTCATGAGATGGAATATGTGGAAACTGATTTCTGTTTCTGTTTTGGTTTTTGATTTTTCTTCTATTTAAAATCTCTATCGTAGCGAAGAAGATTAACAAGCAGTGACTAAGTTGAGAACTTCACATGACTTCCTAATAATACCCTGAAACCTATATAATAAATGCATTAAGATAACAGTCCAATTTGGGCTTATATGCATTTAAAAAGGTAATCTTTATTTTCTGTTACTGAAAAGTCTACGGAACAAAATATTAATATAAATAATCCATACAGTTTGCCACAAATTTATAAGGATACTTGAAAGTTGAGCATCCAATGCAATCACATAAATAGCTGAAATTCAATAATTATCTCCTTGACATTGAATATTCAGTTCAAAATTAATGATAAGTATCTCAAGATCGCAAAAAAACCATAACCACAATCATTATCATGACCTTGATCATGATCATGATCATTATCACGGTGATCATCGGAAAAAGAGGGAAAAAGAGGAACCTTCAGATAGAGAACGCCACCGCCCAAATCCGGATCATTCCGATTACTTTGCGTGAGCTCGAGCCGAGCCTCGTTGCCATAGAAGCAAGCCCCTTTCCACTCAATAGAGCCATTGTTTGGAGAAACCGATCCGATGAAATAGGGCAACAAGTCCGCAGCACTGTGGAGATTGTTCAGCACCGGCCAGGATACCTGATGCGGGAGAGCCGGAAGCAGGTCCTTAACCTTAAACGGGACCTTCAGAGCGTGCCCTAGCCCTAGCCCTACAAGGCAGAGGAAAATCAACGACAACCTCGAAGCGGGCGAAAGAGGAGACATGGAAAGGGGCTTGCCGCAACTCTGGAGCTGAATCTAGAGTTGCAGAGAGAGAGGGAAGGAAAACCCTAACCTAGGGCCGATTATTGAGTTTCAGAGTTGGAAATTTTTGGTACGGCCAAAGGTGTTTCTTGCCGGTACTCCATGTGAGGACTTTCTTGAGTTGGAAGTTTCTTGGCTATTTATTTTTTCTGATTTTGGGAATTTTTACTTTTTAGTGTTTTTTTTTCTTTCTTTTTTTTTTTTTT